GAGATTATGTATTCTTTTTTGTATTGTACGAATACTTTTTTTTTCAACCCGTAAAATTGATAAATGCGATTGATTTCTATTCAATCAATTTTTCTGTTGTCTATGTATATCTATTTATTATTTATCTGTGTACAGTTAATTATATGAAAAATATTTTTATTCATTAGCTGGAAATACAGTAAATTGAAATTTGTATATGTACGAATATTTGTTTCTCCCACTGTATATATATATATATATATATATATATATATATATATATATATATATATATATATATATATATATATGCAGAATAAAACAAAAAGGGAAACTATTCTTTACCAACACGTTTCCTCCTCCGATGAACTTTATCACGGCAAAGGTCATGATTTTTTTTTTTATAGTTAGTAATTATAAACAGAAATTTAAAAAAAAAATAGGTTTTTAAATTTAAGGACGGTAAAACAGTGATATAATTTAATGCATAAGAAAGGAAAGTGAATGGATTTGTTGCTGTTGATTTTTTTCTTATTCGTTTAAATATATATAGGTATTTACTTTTTGCTAATGTAATTATTTTTATTACTTTATTTTAATATGATAGAAACCGTATATATTTTTATAATGTAAATAATAAAAGGTTTTGACGTAACCGTTTCATTTTATTTTTATGATCATCCATGCTGTCTTGGGAGCGAGTAAAGGAGATATTTGGAATATTCAATACCGGCATTCTCAAGAACTTCCCGCTTAAGTTAGATCTTTTATCTCTTTAATTATTATTGTGGAACTTATTACTGCATATGACTAATGTATTTGTTTATTTGTTATGTATAATATTTTTTTTTTCATAGTTACGAATTTTTTTGAATTTCTGCAAGTTTTCACAATATATTGTAAAGAACAACAATTGTGACAGTTTACTTTATATATACCATCTTCCGAATTTTTAAAAATAAATTATTCTTTCACGTTTCGTTGAAAAAGACACAGACGTGTCCGAAAATTCCACTTTAAAATCTTTCCCCTCGTGCTACAATTTAGTCAAATGGACGACCAATATTGAATAAATATCATCAATCCTATTGCTATTATTATTATCATTTTTTGTCTTAGGTCAGCTTTCATTAAGCAGCTTATTAGTTCTAAACATAAATATATATATATATATATATATATATATATATATATATCACCAACGAAAAAAATTTACTCCCTTTCGTTTATTACAGATTTAAGTACATAACTTAGCATATTCCATGCTTTTTCTTGACTTTCAAAATTCACCTTATGAATATTTTTGAGCTCTTTCTTCCTCGTAGTGTTAACTGGCTTCTTATGCCATTTGTTTCTTTAAGTTTCTCATTCAATTCACTGAACGAATCTTATAATTGAGAATTATGTCAAATCGTGTCAATCTTATGATTGCAACCAGACATTGCAAAAAAAATACATGAGATCCGTCTCTTTGTCTTTTTCATACACATTATTTGTTAAATTCTCTTCTCCAATAAGATTTTACAGTGGATCAATGAAGTTATTCAGATTAATTTATGAACCTAAATAAAGTGTCAGCGCACAGAGACGAGTTCGTCAAAATAAGCTTGATACTACTTTCTTTTAAAATAACTAAACGATAAAATACATTTAATTGATATTTTATCGATTGAAGCAATTTTTGTGGCATGCGGTGACATAAAAAAAAATAATCTAGATTCTGAACCACAAAATCAAACCATCATTAATCATATTCGACGGTTCTTGTAGCGAATCAGTATGTTTTTTTTTTATCTTTTTTTATTTTTACATACGCGTTTCTACTTTTCCGTGATTAGTACAGTAATTGAATGTGCAGAATTTGCAACAGCATTTATGTAAACCACATAATATATGGATGCTGCCAGTAAATATCTGCTAAAAGGGAACGGTTCTCTTACACAGATTTTTTTTAAGTAGCCAACTCATTGGGAATAATAAAATGTTAAGAATTAATCAATTTTGACAAGCTTAAATGAAAGCATACATTTATAAAGGTAGCTGAGACATGCTATACAGAGATACCGCCACACATGTTTATGTAGATATGTGCGCGTATTAATATTCTTTAAAATTTGCACTATTTCATTGTAAAGAATGTTCAACAGAGAATATTCAGAATATATATATATATATATATATATATATATATATATATATATATATATATATATATATATATATATATAAACACTAACACCCCATGCAATGTAGTAAAGCCCCCAAAACGCAAGGGGCTACATTATGTAGAGGAATTAGGAACAGAAACATTAATAATGAGTGGAAAGAGAAAAAAGTAATCAGGAGGACAGTAGATAGCGATTGACAGTGGATTTAAATTATTGCCGATTAAAGTTGGTTGGAAATCATGGAACCGGAAGGTAGTTCCATAAGCGAGAATTGCGAGAAAGTAAACCGTTATCATAGAAGTTATGGCTACATCTAGTAATCTCAACTCTCAACGAGATTTGGACAACAGTCT